TCGTGCCAAGTTTGGTCCAGATCCATCATTGTTTGAGTCCACAATGCTCTCTGGAGGTAGGTGAACTACAACTCCCAAAACTCAATGCCCACCAAACCCTTCCAGTATTTTCTGTTGTTCGTGGGAGTTCTGTGTGCCAAGTTTGATTCAGTTCTATCATTGGTGGAGTTCAGAATGCTCTTTGATTGTAGGTTAACTATAAATCCCAGCAACTACAACTCCCACAGGACAAAATCAATACCCTCCCCCAATCCCACAAGTATTTAAATTTGGGCATATTGGGTCTTTGTGCCAAATTTGGTCCAGTGTATGAAAATACATCCTGCATTTTAGATATTTACATTACTATTCATAACAGCAGCAAATTCATAGAATCATAGAATCAAAGAGTTGGAAGAGACCTCCTGGGCCATCATCCAGTCCAACCCCATTCTGCCAAGAAGCAGGAATATTGCATTCAAATCACCCCTGACAGATGGCCATCCAGCCTCTGTTTCAAAGCTTCCAAAGAAGGAGCCTCCACCACACTCCGGGGCAGAGAGTTCCACTGCTGAATGGCTCTCACAGTCAGGAAGTTCTTCCTCATGTTCAGATGGAATCTCCTCTCTTGTAGTTTGAAGCCATGGTTCCATTGTGTCCTAGTCTCCAGGGAAGCAGAAAACAAGCTTGCTCCCTTCCTCCCTGTGGCTTCCTCTCACATATTTATACATGGCTATCATATCTCCTCTCAGCCTTCTCTTCTTCAGGCTAAACATGCCCAGTTCCCTAAGCCGCTCCTCATAGGGCTTGTTCTACAGACCCTTGATCATTTTAGTCGCCCTCCTCTGGACACATTCCAGCTTGTCAATATCTCTCTTGAATTGTGGTGCCCAGAATTGGACACAATATTCCAGGTGTGGTCTAACCAAAGCGGAATAGAGCATGGGTAGCATGACTTCCCTAGATCTAGACACTATGCTCCTCTTGATGCAGGCCAAAATCCCATTGGCTTTTTTTGCCGCCACATCACATTGTTGGCTCATGTTTAACTTGTTGTCCACGAGGACTCCAAGATCTTTTTCACACGTACTGCTCTCAAGCCAGGCATCGTCCCCATTCTGTATCTTTGCATTTCGTTTTTCCTGCCAAAGTGGAGTATCTTGCATTTATCACTTGAGGAAGCGTATTAAGGGGTCGTGGCATTAGGAAGGTTGAGGACCACTGTCCTAGAACGTAACACCCACGAAAAGTGAGGGAACACTGTATCATGCTGTGTTTTATCGTTCGGCATTGAATGTTTCCTGTTGGTAGCCCTCCTGAGCCCCTCATCGGAGGTGAGAAGGACGGGATAGAAATGTTCCCAATAAATAGATCAATAAACAGTGAGGAGCCAGCTTGGCCTTTCCTTGACCCCCAGGTTGAGGATATTCTGTGGAATCTCATATCTTTTCTTGGTCATTCTGTGGTTCTATGACACAATTGCATCCTGCCCTGAGTTTGCAGGTCAATGAACTCAAGTGGTTTCAGAGTGCTTACGAACACAAACCCATCCCTGGATGGTCTGCAACAGTTTGTGAGTGGGTGATTTGCACATTTTGCTGATTCTCAGATCTGTCAGAAACCAGCTCTGGCCAAACCTCGGTTACCTACTCCTCTTTTCCCGAAACCAGTTTACTGTGCAATCATACACGGGCCTATTGTTGATGTACAGCAAAAAAGCACATGCTCTATTCTGCTTTGGTTAGACCACTTTACCTGGAATATTGTTTCCAATTCTGGGCACCACAATTGAAGAGAGATATTGACAAGCTGGAATGTGTCCAGAGGTAAGGTAAAGGTAAAGGTGCCCCTGACATTAAGTCCAGTCATGTCTGACTCTGGGGTGTGGTGCTCATCTCCATTTCTAAGCCGAAGAGCAGGCATTGTCCGTAGACACCTCCAAGGTCATGTGGCTGGCATGACTGCATGGAGCGCCGTTACCTTCCCGTCGGAGCGGTACCTATTGATCTACTCACATTTGCATGTTTTTGAACTGCTAGGTTGGCAGAAGCTGGGACTGACAGCGGAAGCTCACGCCGCTCCCCGGATTCATCTGAAAGTTCTGGGCACCACAATTGATGGCAGATATTGACAAGCTGGAATGTGTCCAGAGGAGGGCGACTAAAATGATCAAGGGTCTGGAGAACAAGCCCTATGAGGAGCGGCTTAAGGAGCTGGGCATGTTTAGCCTGAAGGAGAAAAGGCTGAGAGGAGATATGATAGCCATGTATAAATATGTGAGAATTGGGCGTATCAAGTATTCGTGCCAAGTTTGGTCCAGATCCATCATTGTTTGAGTTCACACTGCTGTCTGGTTGTAAGTGGGAACTACAACTCCCACTATGATGGGTCAGTCCCCTCAAACCCCTCCAGTATGTTCAATTAGTCATGGAGATCCTGTCTGCAAAGTGTGGTCCAGATGCATTTTCAGCAGGAGCCACGGTTTCTCTGGCTGTAGGAGAACTACAACTCCCTGAAATTAAGGCGAGTTTCCCTCAGACTTCTCCAGTATGTTCCATTGTTCTGTGTGCCAAGTTTGATCCAGGTCTATCATCAGTGGTGTTGGGATGGTGGTGGTAGTGATGTGTGTGTGTGTGTGGCGGGGGGGAGGTTGTCACAGTTTTTTGGAAATAGGTGAACTACACATCCCAAAAAAAAAAAAAAATCAAGGCCAATCCCTCCCAAACTCCTCCAGTATTCAAAATTGGGTGTATCAGATACGTATGCCAAGTTTGGTCCAGATCCATTGTTGTTTAGGTTCACACAGCCCTCGGAGTGTAGGTGAACTACAACTACCCTAAATTGAGGTGAATTACCCTTAATGTCTTCCAGTATGTGTGTGTACACACACACACACACACACACACAAGCCGTCCCCTGCCTTGCGTTCCTGTGGCCCACATGGGGATTCTGTGTGGGAGGTTTGGACCAATTCTATTGTTGGTGGGGTTCAGAATGCTCTTTGATTGTAGGTGAACTATAAATCCCAGTAACTAAAACTCCCAGATGCCAAGGTCTATTTCCCCCAAACTCCATCTGTGTTTATATTTGGGCATATTGAGTATTTGTGCCAAGTTTCGTCCAGATCCATCATTGTTTGAGTCCACAGTGCTCTCTCTAGATGTAGGTGAACTACAACTCCAAAACTCAAGGTCAATGCTCATCAAACCCTTCCAGTATTTTCTTTTGGTCATGGGAATTCTGTGCCAAGTTTGGTTCAGTTCCATCACTGGTGGAGTTCAGAATGCTCTTTGATTGTAGGTGAACTATAAATCCCAGCAACTACAACTCCCAAATGACAAAATCATTTTTTTGAGTGAAGGACATACATTGGGTTGTTAGGTGTCTTGTGTCCAAATTTGGTGTCAATTCGCCTACTGGTTTTTGAGTTCTGTTAATTCCACAAACGAACAGTACATTTTTATTTATATAGATATAGATAGATAGATAGATAGATAGATGTATAGATGTATAGATGTATAGATGTATAGATGTATAGAGATAGAGATAGATAGATATAAATAGATATAGATATAGATATTAGCTGTCCCCTGCCACGCATTGCTGTGGCCCAGTCTGTGTATATTTGCGTATATATGTGTGTTTGCGTATGGGTGCATATATATGTGTGTGTATATATTTGTGCATTTGTGTGTTTATATGTGTACATGCATATTGTGTATATGTGTGTATATATTTGTGTATATATGTGTGTGTATATATATGTGTGTATACATTTGTGTATTTATATGTGTACATGCATATTGTGTATATGTGTGTGCTTGTCTATATGCATATTTGTGTTTATATATGTTTGTATGTGGATATGTATATGTGTGTGCATGTGTACATGTATATATGTATATGTATGTATTTGTGTTTGTGCATATGAATGTGTATATGTGCATATGTACATGAGTGTATGTGTATATGTATACATGGTGTATTTGAGGGTTTTTTAAGTCTGGTCTGCTGTGATTTTGTGTGTGTGTGTGTGTGTTTATGGGTGATGGACACTCGTTGGATTGTTAGATATGTTGTGTCCAAATTTCATGTCAATTTGTCCAGTGGTTTTTGAGTTAAGTTAATCCCACAAACGAACATTATATTTTTATTTATATAGATATAGATAGATAGATAGATAGATAGATATAGATAGATATAGATATAGATATAGATATAGATAGATAGATAGATAGATAGATAGATAGAGATAGAGATAGAGATTTATAAATATAGATAGATATAGATAGATAGATATACTTGGTCACGGAAGTTCTGTGTGCCAAGTTAGGTCCAGGTCCATCACTGGTGGGGTTCAGAGTGCTCTTTGATTGCAGGTGAACTATAAATCCCAGTACCTATAGCTCCCAAATGTCAAGACCCCACCAGTATTCAAACATGAACATGAACATGAGGAAGAACTTCCTGACTGTGAGAGCCGTTCAGCAGTGGAACTCTCTGCCCTGGAGTGTGGTGGAGGCTCCTTCTTTGGAAGCTTTTAAACAAAGGCTGGATGGCCATCTGTCAGGGTTGATTTGAATGCAATATTCCTGCTTCTTGGCAGAATGGGGTTGGACTGGATGGCCCATGAGGTCTCTTCCAACTCTTTGATTCTATGATTCTATGATTCTGGGCATATTGGGTATGCATGCCAAGTTTGGTCCAGATCAAGAAACTTTCCCTCTCTGTCAAACCCAGGATTATGCCGAAAGTCTACACTGGGTGCTCATCCTAAGGTCTGTCCTTCAACCATTTGTGAGCCTTTGGGGTGTCTGAAGCCATAACAAGCATCCTGTTGCAGCATCCCTTCCATATTGTATGTCCTTCAACCATTTGTGAGCCTTTGGGGTGTCTGAAGCCACCAGAAGCATCCCTTCCAGATGCCACCTACACCAATCCCAATATTTGGATGGAAGCCCATCAGCTTATGGGAAGTGCAACGCCCCCAGGTTCTGGCTCAAGTCCTATCAGAACGGAGTCAAGGGTAGGGCATGTGGCAAGGGGGTGTGTGTGTTGTTCTTGGCTCCCACTCCTCCAAGCCCTCCCCCTTCCTCATGTGCATAAATGCTCCACAGCATCAGCAGCATCTTCAGACCGCCCTCAAACTGAGTTGCACATCAGGCAAAGAGAACCAAGAAGAGAGGTGAGTCTTTGGCCTTCCCAATCTTTTCTGCAGGGCTGCAGATCGAGAATGAATGCAGATTCATTCATGAGGGGGTCATGAGGGGGTGTTAGAGGGGTTGACCATTATAAAACACAGTATTTTCTGTGGGTCATGGGGGTTCTCTGTGGGAAGTTTGGCCCAATTATTGGGTTCAGAATGCTCTTTGATTATAGGTGAACTATAAATCCCAGCAACAACAACTCCCAAATGCCAAGTCTTATTTTCCTCAAACTCCACCAGTGTCCACATTTGGGCATATTGAGTATTCGTACCAAATTTGGTCCAGATCCATCATTGGTTGAGTCCACAGTGATCTCTGGATGTAGGTGAACTACAACTCCGAAACTCAAGGTCAATGCCCACCAAACCCTTCCAGTATTTTCTGTTGGTTATGGGAGTTCTGTGTGGCAAGTTTGGTTCAATTCTATCATTGGTGGAGTTCAGAATGCTCTTTGATTGTAGGTGAACTATAAATCCCAGCAACTACAACTCCCAAATGACAAAATGAACCTCCCCCCAAACCCCACCAGTATTCAAATTTGGGTGTGAATGGGCTTTGCAGCTTACTCAAATAGATTACAGGTCCAGCAAGTGTGGCTTTGTTGTTGTTTATTCGTTCAGTCATTTCAGCCTCTTGGTGCCCTCCTGGACCATCCCAGGCCAGAGCTCCTGGTCAGCCGTGTCCACCCCCAGCTCCTTCAAGGTCAGGCCAGTCACTTCAAGGATGCCACCCATCCATCTTGCCCTTGGTCAGCCCCCTTTCCTTTTTCCTTCCATCTTCCCAAGCATCATTGTCTTCTCCAAGCTTTCCTGTCTTCTCATGATGTGGCCAAAGGACTTCATCTTGGCCTCTCATCTCCTTTCTTTCCTGGAGGATGGACTGGTTGGATCTTCTTGTGGTCCAAGGCACTCTCAGAACTTTCCTCCAGCACCATGGTTCATAAGTGTCTCTCTTCCTTTGCTCAGCCTTCCTTGTGTGTGGCTTCCAAGTGTGGCTGGGCAGAGGGAACTGTGCTCACAATGATTATTCTCTGTCTTTTCAGGAGAACCGATCCAGCCATGGCTCCATCAATGCTCTGGTGCCTGTCTTTCTGCTTCCTAGCCTGCCTTGTGTCGGCCTCTCCGGTGGATGAGCATCCAACCAATGAAAGTCTGGTGGCCGAACAAGAGGACCACCACCACCACATGTTGAAAATGATCGATGATTTCAAACAGTTTATGATGAAGAAGAACAAATGCCCCCTGAAGTGGATGCGTCACGGCTCCTCTTGCTACCGGTTCGTTGACTGTCCAAAGACCCATCGTGAAGCAGAGGTCAGTTGGCGGGCCTTTTGGGCAAGTCCCATGTTGAGCACGCTTTCAGAGAGAGCATCCAAAGAGTCCAGGGTAGCAGGTTGGAGGTGGAAAAGCCCCAAAGCAGAGCAAAAGGCAGGGTAGAATGGGAGAGTTGGAAGATGCCCCTAGAGGTCACCCAGTCCACCTTCTTCTCCAAGCAGGGAGACACAATCAAAGCCCTCCTGACAGATGGGCATCCAACTTCTGGTTCAAGACCTCCAGAGAAAGAGACTCCAAGGAAGTGACATTTTCCACACTCAGATTGTTCTAAGTGTCAAGGAGTTCTTTCCCCAAAGTTTGAAATCATGGCTCCGTTGTGTCCTGGTCTCTCGAGCAGGAGAACACAAGCTTTCCTCCTCCTCCCTCCTCCTCCTCTTTTTCCTTCTCCTCTTCCTCCTCCTCCTCCTCTTGCATAAGACTAATAATAGTATACATAATAAGATTCCGTATATAATAAGACCACTGATACCAATCTCAGTCAATAAATACTGTACACAGACTAGTTCACAACAAATTTTAAGCAGTATTAATGATGCATCAATCATCATAATATCTTATCATAGTCTGATTGCTAAGTATAAGTATTAGGAATTAGATCGGACATATGAATTCGAAGAAGCAGAATACGACTCAACGACAGACAGAAACGGAAGAGGCAGGTCTAAGTCAGCTGACGGAGACTAAGCAGGAGGAGGAGGAAGGAGCAGAAGAGGAAGAAGAAGAAGGAAAGGAAGAAGAAGGAAAAGAAGAAGAAAATGTTAGAGAAGGCTGCTGAGACATCTATGGCTTCTTCTCATGCTCATCATACTTCCTTATCATAATAATCCTAATCTTACCGCTATTATAATCTCTAGCGTAGACTTATCTACCGATACTCCTTCCTCCTCTTCTCATCCTCCCTTCCTTCTCCCTCCTCCTCTTCCTTCTCCTCCTCCTCCTCCTCCTCTTCCTCTTCCTCCTCCTCCTCCTCAATGGGACAGCCATCTAAATATTAAAACATGGCTCTCGTGTCTCCTTCTCTCAGTCCACTCTGTCCATTCTGGCTTGACATGCCCATAGAGGTGGAGGGAGGAGGTCACCAGTGGTCTAGGATGCTGAGGGCATGGACAGCAACCAGTCAGTGCTGAGCATAGAACTCAACTGAATTGCGCAAAAGCTCATATGGAAATAAATGTATCCGTTTGAATGCTGTTGCTAGATTCCACTTTCCCACCTTCCCTTTCCCCTTTTTACATTGCCACAGGCTCCAGTAGATTCCTAATATTTAGGCAGAAACTCTTTTCCTGCAATTGGAAACCAATGCTGCATGGTGTCCCAGTTTCCAGAGCAGCAGCAAAGAGCCTTGGCCCTCCTCAATGGGACATCCTTTCTGACATACTCAAACCACGCAATCAGGTCCTTTCTCAGCCTTCTTTTCTCCAAGCCAAACATCTCCAGCTTCCCAAGTGTCTTCTCAGAGGGGTCCATGGTTTCCAGGCCTTGGGCCATTTTGGTTCCCCTTCTCTGGAGTCCTTCTATCGTGTCCATATTCTCCTTCTTGAATCGCTTTGCCCAGAACTGGACACAGGGTTGTTATTCCAGGTGAGATCTGACCAAAGCAGGAGAGAGTGGGACTATGTCTTCCCTTGATGTTGACACTAGACTCTTAGGGATTTGGCCAAGAACTGTGTTGGCTTCTTTAGCTGCCGCATCACTCTGTTGCCTCAAACTACAAGAAAGGAGATTCCATCTGAACATGAGGAAGAACTTCCTGACTGTGAGAGCCGTTCAGCAGTGGAACTCTCTGCCCCAAAGGGTGGTGGAGGATCCTTCTTTGGAAGCTTTTAAAAAGAGGTTGGATGGCCATCTGTCGGGGGTGCTTTGAATGCAATATTCCTGCTTCTTGGCAGAATGGGGTTGGACTGGATGGCCCATGAGGTCTCTTCCAACTCTCTGATTCTATGATGCTATGATTCTATGTTCACTTGGTGGTGCCTTAAGACTCCTAGATCCCTTTTCCATGGAGTGTGAAGAGAGGAGGAGACATCATATGGAGTCAGAGCCTCATTCCATTGAGCTCAGTGATGTCAACTTGGGCAGAGTTCTTTCATGATCATCAAGTTTGCAGATGGAACTCAATTGGGAGGGAGAGCCAATACTCCAGAAGACAGGAGCAGAATTCAAAACGATCTTGACAAGTTAGAGAGATGACTGGCCAAAACCAACACCATGAAGTTCAACAGGGACAAATAAAAGAGACTCCACTTAGGCAGAAAAAAGAAAATGCAATAGACAGAATGGGGGAGGAGGCCTGGCTCGAGAGCAGGATGTGGGGATAAGATCTTGGAGGCCTCATGGGGAGGAAGGGGAACATGAGGTAACAATGTGATGTGGCAGCTAAAAAAGCCAATGGGATTTTGATCTCCATCAATAGGAGCCTAGTGTCTAGATCCAAGGAAGTCATGCTCCCCATGCTCTCTTCTGCCTTGGTCAGACCACACCAGGAATCACACTGTGTCCAATTCTGGGCACCACAATTGAAGGGAGTTGTTGACTCTAAGCTGTAATGTGTCTAGAGAAGGGCAACTCAAAGGATCCAGGGTCTGGAGAACAAGCCTTATGAAGAGCAGCTTCAAGAGCTGGGCATGTTTAGCCTCCAAAAAAGAAGGTGGAGAAGAGACAGGATGAGGGCCAGAGATCAAGAGTTGAGACTGGGGAAGGAGGGAGCAAGCTTGTTTTCTGCTGCCTGGAGACAAGGACACAGAACAAAACTACAGCAAAGAAAGAAGATTCCACCTGAATGTGAGGAAGAACTTCCTAACTGGGAGAGAGAGATGTTCAACAGTGGAACTCTCTGCCCCAGAGGGAGTGTGGTGGAGGCTCCTTCTTTGGAGGCTTTGAAACAGAGTCTGGATGGCCATCTGTCAGGGGTGCTTTGAATGAAATTGTCCTGCTTCTTGGCAGAATGGGGTTTGACTGGATGACCCATGAGGTGTCTTCCAACTCTAGGATTCTATGCTTCTATTTATTCTTCTGACTTCTGTAGGCTTTCCTGGCTCATTTTGTCCATCTTCTTCCTTCCTTCCTTCCTTCCTTCCTTCCTTCCTTCCTTCCTTCCTTCCTTCCTTCCTTCCTTCCTTCCTTCCTTCCCTTCCTTGTTCCACAGGAGGAATGCCAGAGTTATGGTGAGAACAGCCATCTTGTGTCTATCCATGGAGACGCTGAAGAGGTCTTCCTCATGAAAAGCATTGTGCCAGAGGGACAGAACGACAACATCTGGATCGGTGGCTCCAACATCAATAACGTGAGCTCTTGTCCTCCTATTCACCTTGTCACGTGGGTGCTGTGTTTTAGCATATTTATTTTCTATTTCAGGTGCATCTGTGCTGTAGAATTAATATAGTTTGACACCGCTTTTAACTGCTGTGGCTGAATGCTAGGGATTTGTGGTTTTGCAAGGTCTTTCCCCTCCTTTTCCAACTGCCAGGATTCCATAACATTGAGCCATAGCAATTAAATCAGTCTCAAGCCAAGGGAGGGAAGGAAGGAGCGAGGGAAGAGGGAAGGAAGGAAAGATAAAAGGAAGGAAGGAAGGAGAAAAAGGGAGAGAGGGAAGGAGGGAGGAAAGGGAGGAAGAGGGAAGGAAGGAAGACAGAAAAGGAAGGAAGGAAGGAGAAAGAGGGAGAGGAGGGAAGGAGGAGGAAAAAAGGAAGGAAGGAAGGAGAGGAAGGAAGGAAGGGAAAGGAAGGAAGGAAGGAAAAGGGTGGATAGGTATATGGAGTGTGCGGAAAGTAGGCAATGAACGAAAAGCCAAATAGGAAGGTAAGGAAAGGAAGTAAAGAGGGAGAGAAGGTTTAAAAAAATGTGAGGGGGAAAGGAGGAAAGAGTGGAAGGAAAGTATGAAAGGAAGAAGGAAGGAGAAGGGAAGGAAGGGTGGAAGAGAATGGAGGAGGGAAAGGAAGGAAGGAAGGAAAAGGAAAGGAAGGAGAAAGGGATAGAGGGGGAGGGAGGAAAGAGGAAAGGAAGGAAGGACGAAAAGGATAGAAGGAGGAAGGGAAGGTGGAAGGGAGAAGGAGGGAGGGAGAAAGAGGGAGAGAAAGAAAGAAGGTGGAAAGGAGAAAGAAGAAAGGAAGGGAAGAGGAGGGAAGGAAAGGAAGGAAAGCAAAAGGAAAGAGAAAAAGGGGGAGGAAGGAAAGGAGGGAGAAAGTAGGAAGGAAGGAAAGATAAAGAGAAGGAAGGATGGAAGCAAAAAGAGGAGAAGGAAGGAAGAGGGAAAAAAGGGAAAGGAAAGAAGGAGGGAGGGAGAAAGAGAGGAGGGAGGGAAGGAAGGAAGGATAAGTAAGAAGAAGAAGAGAAAGAGGAAGGGAAGCAGGAAGGAAAGAGAGAAGGAAAGAAGGATAGGATGGTGAGAAAGAGAAGGGGTTGAGAAAAGAGCTCAAGGGAACACATCCAGGCCATCACTTAAATAGAAAATTGTCCATTCAAGTTTGACATGTTTCTCCCATCTAAATGGATTCTCATACATTTTACGTAGGAAGGTTGACCATAGGAGTTTGACATGTTTCTCCCATCTAAATGGACTCTCATACATAGGAAGGTCGACCATAGGAGTCACACTGGAGGATACAGAGATTCCTAGAGTCCCTCCAAACCAGTGGTTCTCAGCCTGTGGGTCTCCAGATGTTTTGGCCTTCAACTCCTAGAAATCCTAAGAGCTGGTGAACAGGCTGGGATTTCTGGGAGTTGTAGGCCAAAACACATGGGGACCCACAGGTTGAGAACCACTGCTCTACACTGCAGAATGAATGCAGTTTGACAACACTTTAACTCTCATGATTCAACACTATGGAACCCTGGGATTTGTGGTTTGGTGAGGCACCAGCCCCATTTGGCAGAGAAGGCTGAAGAACTTGCCAAACCACAGCTCCCACAGTTCCATCGCATTGAGCCATGGCACTTCAAGGGGTTTTTAAACTGTCTTCACTCTACAGTGCAGATGCAGCTCTAGAGAGGTGCTTCCTTGCGTTCAAACAAAGCAATGGAGGGGATGCTGTGTGATCTTTGCTCTCAGCTTCCTCTGAGGACACTTTGCTGAGTCCTCTTGGGGAGAAAGGGTGGGATTAAAAAAAAAAGCATTATTATTATTATTATTATTATTATTATTATTATTATTATTATTATTTTCTATTCTCAGTGTCAGGACTTTCATTGGTCTGACAATTCTCCAATGAATTATTATTCCTGGGGACCTGCATCTCCAAGCAATTGTGAAGGCACGAAGGTGTGCATTCAGATGTCCAAAGACACAGGTAAGAGACCCTTTTCATTTTTAGGAAATCAGTCGAGAAAAGCTGGGGCCGGGAATCTTTCCCAAAAAGCCTCCACTGTGTCACAGGTGCCTTTCGCCCGAGAGCACCAGAAAGGGAGCCTGTCCTTTGGCTCCTTATGCTTCTAGTTGGGCACTGTGCCTGGTGGTCGCATATAGAATCACAGAACCCTAGAGTTGGAAGGGACCCCCAAAGAGCACCCAGTCCAATCTCTTTCTGAAAATCAGAAAGACACAATCCAAGCCCCCTGGACAGATGGCTATGCAGCCTCTGCTTAAGAACCTCCAGAGAAGGCATCTCCACCAGATCCCCAAGTCATCTATATCCCAAATGGAGTAAGAAGGGAACTCCAAAGGCCATCCAGTCCAACCCCCTTATGCCATTCATGAATACCGAATCTAAACCCCCTTGATAGATGGTCATCCAGCCTCTGCTGGCATAGCAGAAGGGGTTTGGACTAGATGGCCCATGTGGTCTCTTCCACATGGGCCAGCTGATTCTATTAGCTGTACCCGCCATACATTACTATGACCAACCTTCCCTCCCTCGTTCTCTTCCTTCCCTCTTTCCTTCTTTCCTTCCTCCCTCCCTCCCTTCCTCCCTCCTCCCTCCCTCCCTTCCTTCCTTCTTCCTTCCTTCCTTCCCTTCCTTCCTCCTTCCTTTTCCTTCCCTTCCCTCTCTTCCATCTTCCTTCTTTCCTTCTTTCCTTCTTTCCTTCCTTCCTTCCTTCCTTCTTTCCTTCTTTCTTTCCTTCTTTCCTTCCTTCTTCCTTCCTTCCTTCCTTCTTCCTTCCTTCCTTCCTTCCTTTCTCCCTTCCTTCCTTCCTTCCTTCCTTCTTCCTTCCTCCTTCCTTCCCTCCCTCCCTTCCCTCCTCCCTCTTTTCCTCTTTCCTTCCTTCCTTCTCTCCTTCCTTTTCTCCTTCCTTCCTTCCTTCCTTCCTTCCTTCCTTCCTTCCTTCCCTCTTTCCTTCCTTCATTGGAAAGGAACCCACACAAGTCTGGAACCCACACAAGTCTGGAAAGGGTCTTTTAAAAATGGAGAAAAAAATCATATATTTATTTCTGAATGCTTCTGGAATTTCGACAATATATTTGGTGCAATTTCAAAGCATCAGTGTGGGTTCCTTTGCCGGTTCAAAGCATCAGTGTGAGTTCAAAGAATCTTCTGATCTAATTACCTCTCAACAAAAGTTTGCTCCAGGCACAGTCAGCCCATTGTATGCTAATCAAGGTGGTCACTTGAAACATTCACACCTAGCTCCAGCAGACAAGAGTCCTTTGTCCCACCCTGGTCATTCCACAGATATATAAACCCAATTTTCCTAGTTCCAACAGACCTCACTTCCGCTGAGGATGCTTGCCATAGATGCAGGCGAAATGTCAGGAGAGAATGCCTGTAGACCATGGCCATACAACCCAAAAAAAGAACCCAGTGATTCCGGCCATGAAAGCCTTCGACAATACATCTTCTGATGCTTTGAACCCACACAAGTCTGGAAAGGGTCTCTATAAATGGAGAAAAAAATCATATATTTATTTCTGAGCCCTTGGTGAACTATAAACCTTTTTTTTTTGGGGGGGGGGGGGTTACTGTGTCTCAATAACAAAGCCAGTACTGTTCAATGTATTGTCGAAGGCTTTCATGGCTGGAATCACCTGTTTCCTCTCTGCTGTTTTTGCTGTTGCAATTTTAGAATTTTTTAATACTGGTAGCCAGATTTTGTTCATTTTCATGGTTTCTTCCTTTCTGTTGAAATTGTCCACATGTTTGTGGATTTCAATGGCTTCTCTGTGTAGTCTGACATGGTGGTTGTGAGAGTGGTCCAGCATTTTTGTGTTCTCAAATAAAATGCTGAACAAAATCTGGCTACCAGTATTAAAAAACTCTAAAATTGCAACAGCAAAAACAGCAGAGAGGAAACAGGCAGGGACATCTAATCACCTTTCAAGAAGAGTTTGCTCCAGGCACAGTCAGCCCATTGTATGCTAATCAAGGTGGTCAGTTGAAATATTTACACCTAGCCCAACTGACAAAAGTCCTTTGTCTCACCCTGGTCATTCCACAGATATATAAACCCCTTTTCCTAGTTCCAACAGACCTCACCTCTGAGGATGCTTGCCATAGATGCAGGCGAAACGTCAGGAGAAATGCCTCTAGAACATGGCCATATAGCCCGAAAAACCCCACAAGAACTGAGAAAGCCAGCACTCATTGGTCAAGATGATGAAAGAAGGCTGCCTGTCCTCCTTTGGACTCAAACCTTGTCTCCTTTTGCTTTGCAGGATTCAAGACCTGGGTTGCAGCACCCTGTGACACCGCAAAGGACTTCATCTGCGAAAACCATTTCTGATGATACACAGAGTATCTGCTGCCCGCATTTCTGAATTCATGACATTTAGGGGCCTATAAAGTTTCCTAAAGTCTTTTGCTCAAAAGGCAACTCTCTGCAGTCCCTCCAGCAGCGTCCCGTCTGCTTCCTGCCCGACTGCCCTAACTTCCTACTCTTTTGGTGATAATAAAATAGTTTTCAATTCATCCCATACAATGGCTTTGTATTTTCTTTGGTCTTTGCCTAGAGGAGGGGGGCAAGCTAGGATGCAGCTGTCTACACTCCAGTGGTTCTCAACCTGGGGGTCAGGACCCTGGGGGGGGGGGTGTCAGAGGGGTTGCCAAAGACCATCAGAAAACACAGTATTTTCTTTTGGTCATAGGGGTTCTGTGTGAGAAGTTTGGCCCAATTCTATCGTTGGTGGGGTTCAGAATGCTCTTTGATTATAGGTGAACTATAAATCCCAGCAACTACAACTTCCAAATGTCGAGGTCTATTTTCTCCAAACTCCACCAGTGTCCACTTTTGAGCATATTGAGTATTCGTGCCAAGTTTGGTGCAGACACATCATTGTTTGAGTCCACAGTGCTCTCTTCTGGATGTAGGTGAACTGCAACTCCAAACTCAAGGTCAATGCCCACCAAACCCTCCCAGTATTTTCTCTTCGTCGTGGGAGTTTTGTGTGCCAAGTTTAGTTCAATTCAGTCATTGGTGGAGTTCAGAATGCTCTTTGATTGTAGATGAACTATAAATCCCAGCAGCTACAACTTCCAAATGTCAAGGTCTATTTTCCCCAAACTCCACCAGTGTCTACATTTGAGCATATTGAGTATTCATGCCAAGTTTGGTCCAGACACACCATCGTTTGAGTCCACAGTGCTCTTTTCTGGATGTAGGTGAACTACAACTCCAAACTCAAGGTCAATGCCCACCAAACCCTCCCAGTATTTTTTCCTAGTTGTGGGAATTCTGTGTGGGACGTTTGGCCCAATTCAATCATTGGTGGAGTTCAGAATGCTCTTTGATTGTAGATGAACTATAAATCCCAGCAGCTACAACTTCCAAATGTCAAGGTCTATTTCCCCCAAACTCCACCAGTGTCTACATTTGAGCATATTGAGTATTCATGCCAAGTTTGGTCCAGACCCATCATTGTTGGAGTCCACAATATGCTCTGGAAGTAGGTGAACTACAACTCCAAACTCAAGGTCAATGCCCACCAAACCCTCCCAGTATTTTCTCTTGGTCGTGGGAGTTTTGTGTGCCAAGTTTAGTTCAATTCAATCATTGGTGGAGTTCATAATGCTCTTTAATTGTAGGTGAACTATAAATCCCAGCAGCTACAACTTCCAAATGTCAAGGTCTATTTTCCCCAAACTCCACCAGTGTCCACATTTATTTATTTGTTTATTATTATTTATTAACTTTATTGTACCCCGCTGCCATCTCCCCAAGGGACTCGGTGCGGCTTACATGAGGCCGAGCCCAAACACAACAATAAAAGCAATAAAACATCAATACAAGCAATTAAAAAAACATAGACAATAAAATACACAACATTATCAAAAAGCAACACATAATTAAAACAGTGGGGAGGCCAAATGTAGAGTTAAAATTGGAAATAATGCATATTGCATATCTCAAATGATCCTAAAATGGATGGTTGCAAGAACAAGAAAACACAAAGTCTGCCTGGGAAAGGGAAATCTCAAAGACATTGTCACTGCTGGAGACATCAAGCCCTATTCCAGAGTTGCAGCCATATTCCTGCAAGCAGTAGGTCCCAATTCAGGGCCAATGTCTTCCACATAAAAGGTTCCCCACAGGACTCAATGTACTTACGTGTTCGCAAAAATGAGTCCTTCTGGGATGGAGGCGAGCTTCATCTGCAGGCACTTGGTGGGCACCGAAGAGCCAGTCCTTTGAAAAAGAGAAGTCAGGTAAGAAAGCTAAATGGAAGGCACTTTGTCTAAATCCTGTCCCTCCCTTCAACCCTTGGGAAAAATCAGAATATCACATGAAAGCTTGGAAGCAGTGCTTGTTGTGGGGTGCTAGTACGTGAAATGATTGATAGTTTCCAAATCACGGCCTCCCTGAACGGCTGCAATTTGGATAAGCAAGTGTGCTGGTACGGCTGTACCAGGAGCTCCAACTTTATTTGCTTTGGGTTGTTGTAGGTTTTTCCGGGCTATATGGCCATGTTCTGGAGGCAATTTTTCTCCTGACGTTTC